GACCACACACTCTTGAGAGTTGGAAGCTCCACTTTAAAAGCAAACCCATTTCCCTATTCATGATCTTCATGATCTTCTTCTAACAGCCTATTCTCTATCTACTGAAGGAAAGAAAAATATTTCCTTCAGGAGCAGGAGTTGAAACTGGTCACAAAGCAAACAGTAGCCACTGACAAAAAAAAAAAAGTGTAACTAATGTTTGATGGATACTGGCTTTGACTGACACGTGAATGACCTGGAATTACTATTTTCTGAAGAAGCTAGAGACTTTTTTTCACTGTTTTCACAAAACTGTTGCACAAACAAAATATAGCAGTATAAATTCCTAGGCCAAGCTAGAAAAGGACACGTAAGCCAAGGCCTACCAGTAAAGAAATTTGCCACTAGCTTTCACTTGTCCAATACCTAAAGCACACCTATGAGCAGAACACAAAAACACAAACAGCAGCAGGCTATTTCCTCCTGGAGCCAAAATTACAACTAAGTTTATTCTCAGACATTTTAGATTTAGTGCTGTTTAGTAGAGAGTTATTGTAGATTAAGTGGAGAGCTGGTCTCCTAAATATGCACTCATAAAATCAGTAACACTTCCTAGGCACCAAAACTACAAAAGATTTCACAGCACACAGAGAATATGAGATGGATTAAGTATTTCTGAAATACGAAACAATGATTGGCAGCTAGGAAAAAATGCAGTTAGGCCATCTGAAGCTAAAGGGACCGTGGTGAGTGTGACAGCAGGCTTTATCAGAAGATATTTGACTGTGAGAATTTCAGGTCAATTCCAGGCTGAGTGCTGCTCTCAGGAACACATCCACTGACAGCAATATCTAAGAAAGCATTAGATAACAGAAGGCTGAGAGAGATTTGAAATTAGTCCTCTGAAGGTATCTGTTAAAAAAGAACTAGCAATAACATATGTAACTACAAATTACAGTAGGAACAATCTCTCTAGTGCCTTGATTGACTTTTGTGGAGCAGTTTCAAACCAGAGACCCCTCAGGAAGTTGATTATTTGAAAATCTTGAAGTATCTGATGCATTTGGATCCTCCTAATTCACTGGGGACTATTGCACTTGTGATATCTAGGAAGAGCTTTTATGAATGCTTGCCCTATTGTATGACACCCCATCAGCGGGAGCCGGCAGTGGGAACTGTGGAATCTTAATTCTGCCCTCATTCACAGCCCAGAAAGAAATATTGTCACCTTTATGCCTCTTGGATTGCAGAAGCAGCTGGAGAGCAGAGCAGTCCTTGACATATGGCTGAGTAACCTCTCCTTCTTAGGCAGCTTTTTTAACTTGTGCTGTGCTGATAAGGCTCTTTATAGAACAACTCCCATGCTCGAATAACAACATTTCACAGTGTACTGTGTCTTCACTCCTGCCTTCCCTCAGTTGGATAACATGCCCATCTCCACTGAAAGCAAGAGAAAAGAAGGGATTTTTCTGATGGTTCTCTGCCATCAAGGCAAATAAAAACTTTCTTGTCCTCACACTTTTGGAACTATAGCAGAAATCACAAACCAGAAATCAGAAGTAGCACTGATAACTGCACTCTTCTTGGGACCTTACTACAGTCTCTGTAATTCTTCTTCCCCTTTTCTCTGAGGTCACAAGTAGAAGAAGCAATAAATCTCTTCTCAGAATTATTACAGCATCACTTTAACATAGCATCTACTCCTAAATCTGTGGGAAGCCCAAAGAAAGCTCTAAAGTTCCCAAAAACTCATACATCCAAAGTCAACACCATAATGTTTGGTAGATGTTCTGAAGTTTATTCTAATTTGGAGCAGATGCATCTTCATCCTAGACATATCTAGTTCATCACATTTTTGACCTTCACCCAGGTTTGAGTGACATCCCTGTATGTAGTTTTTCCTTTGATCTAAATGTGGGCTGCCATGACTGCCTTGAACACACATGTCATTGCCATGCCCTCTTGCTGATCATTACTTGTAGCAACCTTGCTTGGTTTTATTTCAGTTACTTCCAATGATTCTATCACCTAGTTAGACAGAAACTCTCGATTATCTTTTTGGCATGATCCAAGGTCTCTGGCTTTTAACACATAGGTAGTTGCATTTTTCCTAAATACATTAGTTCAACTCTAGCACTACAAAAATCTGAAGTTCTTGTTCTGCAGAAATTATATAGGAGCATTGAAAAGTGTAGTTGAAATAAATGATTCATTACAACAGGTGAAAATGCTTTTGCAGTTGTGTATGATTTGGTCAGGAGATATTTTTGTTCTACAAGATTTTTCTTTCTTTTTTTCTGTAGCCCAGAAAAGCAGGAAGTGCCACACTACGGGTTTGCTTGATGAATGCTCTGTGGAAGGCAGAAAGCACGTCCAGCACTGAAAAGGATCATATGATTGATCCTACAATGTATTTGTAAAGACATATGGAACTTGTGTCTTTCTCCTGAACTTTGGCAAAAAGATGCCAGTAAATCATGAAAGTTCAGTGATATAGACAGGAATGGAAATGAAAACCCTATCTTAGAGCTATTATATTTTGGAAACAGTGTACATAGAGATTAATCTCATATAATTTTAGCTAAAAATAAGGTACCTAATCTGAGCTAATTATCCAGGCTTTTTCTAGAGCCATTAAGGAAATAGACACCTCCAGAGATAATTTATCTCATCTCTCCTAAACACCTGTTTTGAACTAGGATTATCCAGGTTGGTACTGCTGGTACTCTCCAATCCAGATAAATTCTGGAGATGCTTATCTCTGTGCTGGCTATGGAAGAACATGGAAAATGGTCTAGCTTAGACACTACAGTCTCAAACAACTAATAAATAATTTTATAGAGAGATGCAATTCCAGAAAATGAGCTAAATGTTCCATTCTCATTTGATTTGGACCTTTTACAGAATCTTCACAGAATCACAGAATCTTCAAGGTGGGAGGCGACCTCTAGAGATCATCTAGTCCAACCTTCCTGCTCAAGCAGGCACACCTACCGCATGTGGCACAGGGCGGCATCCAGGGGGTTTTGAAGACCTCCAGAGAAGGAGACTCCACAACCTCCCTGGGCAGCCTGTTCCACTGCTCTGTCACCCTCACAGTAAAGAACAGCATGTGGACTTTTAACAGCAGTCCATATAACATCAGCATTAAAAACAATAAAATATTTTAAAAGCTCTCAATTGCTAAGAATTTTTCGCTTTTTCACTGAATTGAAACATGGCTTAGGACATAGGCTTTGCCACCACAAATTCTGTGCCACTTTTTTAATCTTTACATTGTAATAATAATACTGTCAAAAGTAATAAAAAGTTGCAAGCATCAAGTCTTTACTATCTTTGACCTCTTCATGAAGAAAACACAATGCACTTATGATGACAAATATTATTAATGCCACAGTATAACAGCAACAGTAATAATGAAATGGCTTCTCTTCTCTGGGATGCACAACAAAACGGAGCAAAAGCCATCCAGGCTCACTTCAGTCCTTAACCTCTGTGTGGTGGGTGCTCAATACCTTAAAGAATGCATATGTAGCTGGGATGAGTTACATGCACAACTGCTGTGGGGCCCAGGGTTGCAGGGTGGTGAACTGCCTTTGTGACAGTCCTGTAATAATGCTGCAAAATACTGGAGAGGGGAAAAATGAGATGCTCAGACTCCTTGCTATTATTTATTGCTTTTATGATATGTCAAACTTATGTGTTTGAAAGATGAGCACTTCTCAAGTCAGGCCATTATTTGGACAATGCATCTGAAAGTGAAGTGCTCCTGATTTTCCTAAATTACACATCACCTGTGTCAAGAAAACTGGGCTCCTTATCACATCTCAGAGTGACCACAATAAACAAATAAATAAATGCATGATGCATTCAAAATCAGGAGTTGCTATAACTGGTGCCATATAACCGCTTGCTCTAGAGAGTTTTGGATACAAGACCCTGATCATTCATACACTGATTAACTGATATATATTACAGTACTTTAGTACTCTAAGATACCCGTGATAATGCAAGAATTCTTCTAAGTGCAGGCCACCATCCTACCGAAACTCAGTGCTTTTGCAGGAGTATCGTGCACACAGCCTCACCAGGCTAAGATAACCCAGGAAGAAGAGCTACTTCTGTGGTTGCTCACAGGACGGATGCGCAAGTGCACAGACAGAACGATAAACACCAACGAGTAGAAAAGGTTTTTAAAAGCAGTACAGGGGAGCTGGTGGGCGGATGGTGGTCTCAGAGGCATGACTGGGGGCGGGAAGCTCGGCTTGGGGAAAATTTGGTTTAACGCGCTCCGCGGAACCGGAATCCTTCTCGGTAGCTCTTTTCCAAGCCCCGCTGGCACCGCTCTCCGCGCCGGGACACGGGGAAGCGCCCTGCGCGCCGTGCCGCCGCGCTGCCGGGAGCCAGGCTCCCCCTAGCGGCGCCCCGGCGGCAGGGGCGGCCCCGCCGCCCGATCCCGCCACTGCAGCCTGGCCCCGGCTCCGGGCCCGGCCCCGGACTGCGCTGCTGCCCTTTGCGCCGCAGCCCGGAGCACTGCGGAGCAGGGCAGGAGGCTGCTGTGGTGCCCGGGCGCTGCTGTCTTGGAAGGTGGTGCCAAGCATCCCGCTTTAAAGGCGCGGCCGCTCAGCCCGAGCGCTGCGGTCCCCGCGGCGGCCGCTCTCAGCCCAGCCCGCGCCCCCAGCCGCGCGCCAGCCCGCGCTCCTCGGCGAAGCACACGGCCGTGTGCACGAACATATGCACACGCGTGCCGCGGGGCTGCGCTTGCCCCCGGGCAGCGGGAAGCTTCGAGGTGCCACAGGGAGGGAGCGCCTGCAGGGTGTCCCCTGTGAAATGATGTCACCCGATCAATATTTTCGGGGGGAGTGACTGATTCGACCAATTCCTGCTATGAAATGGGCTCTATATCGGAACTGGATTTAGCCGAATCGATCGGGCTGATAAGAGGGAGCTATAAAAGGCGGCGGGGCGGCTGCGCCTGCCCTGCATCTCGCTCCGCAGAGCGTCGGCGAGCAGTGGGGGCGATGGGCGAGCGCCGGGGCTGGGGCTTGTCCCCCGCCTCGCTGGTGCTGCTCGGCCTCACTTTGGCCGTGGGGACCCGCTCGCTGCCGCTCTCGGACGCGGGCCCGCACGTCAACTACGGCTGGGGGGAGCCCATCCGGCTGCGGCACCTCTACACCGCCAGCAAGCACGGGCTCTTCAGCTACTTCCTCAGGATCGGCGGCGACGGCCGCGTGGACGGCGCCAGCAGCCAGAGCCCGCACAGTGAGTGCGGGCCGGGGCGGCGGGGCCGGGGCGGCGGCGCTAACCGGCTCTCCCTCCCCGCCAGGTCTGCTGGAGATCCGCGCCGTGGCCGTGCGCACCGTGGCCATCAAGGGCGTGCGGAGCGCCCGCTACCTCTGCATGGACGCGGCGGGGCGGCTGCACGGGCAGGTGAGCGGCGCTGGGGGGGCTCCTGGCGGCCGGGGCGGCGCGGGGCGAACACGGCTCGGACCCCCTCTCCAACTCGGCAGCCCTATTCCGTCCCTTGCCGCCAGGGCTGTAAGAGGAGCGCAACACCCCAAAACATCGCTTCCTAGCACAACTCATCTACTATTATCATTTCTAAAACTACAATCAGGAGCAAAACGTAGTTTCTGTATAAAGACCATCACCGGTCACCCTCCCCAAGCGGCGGCCACGCGCTGCGGGCCACTCGGCGGCCGGGCACCTTAGCAAGGCTCTGATGCACCGCTCCTCGCTCCCACTTGCCCCAGCGCGCGAGCGCAGCGCGAGCAGCCACGCAGCCCGTGCACGCGCGAGCGAGCCCCAGCCCTGCAACGTGACGGGTGGCACTCGGCTCTCTGTTTCACAGAGAAGGGAGTGTTTTTTACTAGCCATAGTAAGCAGTTTCACATTTTCATCGTTTCTGCCGGTAAAATTTGAGCCGATTTCAAGAGAGCCTTTCAAACTTGGCCTCCTGTCAAGCCTCCTAATATCTCTAATAAGAGCAAGAATGATTTAATGAGATTATTGCTCGAGACCATAACATTTCCTTGCTTTGCTTGGCAAGAGTAAATCAGGGCACTGAAGGTGCACAGGTCTTCAGGATTATATGGTCTACACACTACTATTAGCTTAATTATTAGCTTATTTATTATTAGCTTAATTATTAGCTTAAAGCTTTAATGTATATTCAAACCAAAATGATCAGTGAAAACTAAGCACTGGAGCCGCAGCCTGGATCTGTGGTGGGTACACAATTTTAAAATAGAATTCTCCTAACAGAATTTTCAAAGCTGATGACCCTCACCTGAGACTGTTTACTGATTTATAGTATTAATTACACTTTTTTTTTTTAATATAATGGCATGTATCCCTGCCATCAGATCTATTGGCTTTGTAGACAGGTTCTGTATGCCTTATTCTCAAGCACAGTTTTGTTGACTTCAGTAGCAGAAGTCATAGAAGTGAAGTGAGCAAAATTAGACACATAAAGGAAAGTTCTCTCTCAAGAGATGCAATTCCCCTCTCCTATGGACCCCTTGCTTGAAGATCTGCTCTGTTGCTGGACGTAGGACAGAAAATACCCTCTAGCTATACCCCTCTGATCACCAAAAATGCTGTCTGAGGCTGCTACTGCCCCTCTGCTATCAGCTGAGCAAACAAGGTTTGGGGAGAAACTCATGCCCTTACCAGTGCTGGGCTCAGGAGCAGAAAACTAAAGTGCAAATGTTGTACCTGCCATGCCTTTCTCTGACACCGCAGAGAAGGGATGACTAAAGTTGACTTTAGAAATACCATGTGCTGTAGTCTGTTTTCCTAATTCCCACAGCTTAGGGGCTATCATATTTATATTATCAATATTATCTTATTATATACATAGCCTATGGTTGATATAGTTGAGATACGAGCGTGCATAATCAACAACTGTTGTAATTTGTAATGCAAATTCGCTCAAGAAGCCTTTTTATTTCATCCCTGTCATCAGTGAGGCTGACAACTCAAAAATAAGGTCAGATGACAACTGAAACATCAATTTGTATCCTATACATATTTTTCCCCTAGGTATACATGTAGAAAGATAAATATTGTCTAATTTGGAGAAAATGCCTTTTTTTGTGAATGACTTTAATGGTTTGAAACGTACCTTTAAAAAGGCACCCATTTCACACACTTAATTGTATTCTGCATTATTGATGGTGCTTGAGAATGGACTTTAAAGTATCAGCTATGTTCTAAGTTAAATCTGGACAAGAATGCTCATTCATGTAAGAATGCTTTTATCACTGATGACTCAAATACAATCAGCAATGGGCTTCTATTGACCAAGAGTTCAATAACCTGTAGCAGCTGAGCCAGAAATAACACAAGAGCTGTAAGAAGTATACTGACCTGGAAAGGTCTGACCTGGTGATAAAAAAGATTCCTAATATACTATATATGCAGTAGATCACAAATGCATTTCTAGGAATTCATACATAATATAAATTCCTACTAAATATATTCTTCCATTAAAAAAAGAACTTGCATTGTTACACAATGTGGGGTTCTCACTAATGTCTAGTGGGAAAATTGTGCTGCATTAATTAGCTTCTATTATAATTTCTATTAATGCTCAGTAAAAACATCAGCAGTTACCTTTTTAATACTTTTTTGGGGGATGGATATGTTTAAGTGCTGTCCTTTACACTGATGTCTTTCTGCAGACCTGAACCTGAGACTTTTAAAGAAATCTGCAATAGAAGCAGGGTTTTTATACCCTAGAACTATCAGATTAGGTCTCATGACTACAGTTAAATATTGCCAGCAACTAAAAGCAGTTTTTCAGAAGGAGCACTGACAACAAGATGCTTTTTCCTCTGTGCTCAGAACAGGAGCGTGTGAGGAAGCACAGGGGCCAGCATCCTACCTGCTAGCCCCTTTGCATGTCTGTGCTGGCAGCTGCCAGGCACAGGGCCTGTGGACATATTTATAATTTTCCTTTCCTCCCTGCCCTGTAGCTCAGCTATTCTACCGAAGATTGTTCCTTTGAAGAGGAGATACGCCCAGACGGCTACAACGTATACAAATCAAAGAAACATGGGATCTCTGTGTCTTTGAGCAGTGCGAAGCAGAGACAGCAGTTCAAGGGAAAAGATTTTCTTCCACTATCTCACTTTTTACCTATGATCAACACTGTGCCTGTGGAGTCAACAGACTTTGATGAATTCAGTGATTATAGCCAGGCTTTTGAATCAGATATGTATTCCTCGCCTCTTGAAACTGACAGCATGGATCCCTTTGGAATTTCCTCCAAACTGTCCCCAGTGAAGAGCCCAAGCTTTCAGAAATGACTCCAATTACAAACCTGATGTAAAAGAAATTGCAGACTACTACAGGCTTTTAGCGTTTCATGTACAAGTATTTTGAACTTTTGTTTTTGGTATGGAGCCAGACTTTTGCTTGCAGTGTGTTATACCTGGATGATATTGCTCTGAGGCTCTATTCCAGAGAATTGCCTCCCTATCCATACTTTGGTAAAGTGAACTTTGGTGAAAAGAAAGATTCAATACAGAAAGGCAAACCACCAAAGCTAGGCCACTACAATGGTGATTACAGAATTATAATCTTTCTATACCAAGTTCATTACCACATGTATCCACCAGTAATTTTTGCTCATAGGACCAAATGTACCAAGTGTTTTTCATTCACAGGGAGGTTAATAATCTTTTAGGTTCATAGGCCTTAAAGACAAAAAAAATAGGATTAAGGAAGATCTAGCAATTGTGGTTGGGTGAACTAAGGTAAATGCTGTCATTTGGAAATCTGCTGACAACATTCTTGAAAAACTTTCTTTGGAAAGCATACCAGTGAAAGACATTCTGCTTGCATGCTGTGTTTCTTCTTCCCTTAAGAGATAAAGGAAGAAAAGGAAATACTGCTTCCTTCCCTTATTGCTAAGCAGTAATTTGGAAAACTGGATCTTTATTTTCCTTTATAGGCTACTTGTTTACTGTAGGGTCTACACCATCCAATACAGGCTCCTAATCAACATAAGCAGGAATTCTATATATAGGTAAAAGTGTACACAGGACCCAGCATTTATGTTCATCATAGGAGATGAGCAGTACCAACAAATTAGCTTTCAGTAACTGAAGTAACACTGTATATAAGTACGTATGTCTATAGCAAAGGGAAAGACTCAAATTGGATGATGTATAGGTCAAATCAATTGCATAATAAGTTTTCATGGTTTACCTTGGAACACCAGCAGCTCCTGTAAGGCCTTTCAGGCTTCCATTCAGTTTAGTGACTTGAACGCTGCAGAACTGGGTCAGCTGACAATTCACCACGTGAAGAAGGCTTGCGGGTATTTTGTGACCAAGAGGTACATGTCTGATGCCTTCAGTTCAGTTTTCTTGTTGCAACAACTTGACTACGGAATAACAAACCTGAAAACAACCAGAAAAAGAATGTGAAAAAAAGGTTCAGGAATTTTACTCAATTCTAAAGGTTCATTTATAATAGAGATTTCTATACAAAGAAACTGTATTGGAAACACTAGCGTTTTTCTGACCTAGCACTTCATTGCCAATGCAATATTTATAATTAATTTATTGAATGCATACATCTGTTTATTTTGTTACTATTATTTATGCTCAAAATTCTATTTATATACTCTTAAAGGTGGATTTTTTAGTTGTAACAAATTTTGTGAAGTTTTGTAATCATGAAGCAGTAGATTTTTAAATTTCTGTATATTATCAGTAGCATAACATGTACATTTGCAATAAAAAAATCATCTTCAACTCACACCTCAGCTGACTCTTTTGCAAATCCTTTAACCTAAAACTTCAAGGAGGTTCCTAAAACTATTGAATTTGGTTTCCCAGCACCTCTGTAAAGATGATGTCATTGAAGAGGTGTGACAGACAAGGATACAAAGAGACAACTCAGTTCATCCAGAAGTAGATACTGAGTGCCAGTGCTGTAATCAGACAGAGGCTGCCTGCTTCCCAGTCACTGAGATGCCTCATGGTAAATAGCAAATATAAGGAAGGCGTTTTTTCTATACAGATGAGACTGTTCACTAAATTTTAATCCTGAAGATACACAAAGATCACTCCATCTCTTTAACTTCTGTCCTAATTGTAAATTCCTATTCTCTGCTACAACATACGAGAGAAGTACAGCCCAAAGTTCTGTGGACCCTTATGATCAGCTACAGCTAGCACTTTTACCTAACATTTATGTCAGTACAAGCTGCAGTTTGCTCTGCTTGCTGCCATCAGCATGCTAGGTGCTAATGTGAGGGACCTACCATGTTTGTGCCCAGCTGCTCCCAACGGGTTAATTTCTAGGGGAGATGGAATAAATCTGCTACAAGTGTGCTAGAGCAGTGCAAACCAGGTGCAAAGGTGCACTGCACAGGCGCAAACCAGGGGTCTGGGCCAATACAGTTGCTGACGGCAGCAGCCAGGTCCTGTCTCCAGTGCAGGCAAAGCCACCCTGTACATGCACTTCCCTACGAACGACAGGAACTAAACTATTGGCAGTGACTTCAGCCAGACTCCATGCACACCAGAAACTCTACTGTGCATTGTTTATATTCATACATAAATCATACACTGCAAAAAAATGCAGAAATACATGGGTGGGATTCTGCTGCCTTTTAATAATGATAGTATACTCGTCAGTGCAACTGGGAAGAAAACAGGCTGTTTTTTCTTGGAAAAAAAACCCATTACTTTCTAGCAGAATATCAAAAATCAAACATTTCCATATAGAATAGCTGCAAAGCTAATTCACAGCAATTGTAGCTTTTCTGGGCTAGAAAACGTCTCCCATGTTGAGTCACGTTACTCTTTGTGCTGAGCCGCAGCCGCGCATCCGGAGGGCTCCATTTCTCATGTACCGGGAAACAGAGTTCTGATTTCGAAGCTGCTTTCCCCCCAAAAGCTTTCACACTTGGGGCACTCCACTTTTCCTCAGACTTCCTATATTTTTTTTGAACAGTGGATACTTTTCAAGATCCCTTCATATAATTCAAGAACAAAAAAAAACAAAGTTATTATGAATAATTTAAAAGATTCTTCAAAAAAACCCACTTTTCTGCTAACAAATTGTTTTGATGAGAAACTGCAAATAAGAGCAGAATGCATAAGGTACACTGCTAAAGTAAGCCAGTGAGAGAATTTAGGTAGTTTTTATGTCTCTATTTGTGAATATGCGTGTATAACACTAAAATGAGCACCCTCACATTTGTGACCAGTATCCCGAGATCTTTAGCGAGCCCATTTGCTGACACCTTTGATTTTGCATCTTCCACCAGCAGCACAATGTTTCTTACAGTAACAGCATGGTTAGAGCGGCTGGTTCAATATTTATTCAGACAGAGGGAGGAATGCCAGGGGCTAAATTACCCACACCACTTCCTGGAGCACTTTAGTTTTCCTTGGAGTTTTCCCATCCAAGCACTGACCAGGCCCAGCCATTGTGCTTATGAAATCTGACAAAAATTGCAGCTTGAGGTGGACTGATTACTGGAAAATGCTTTCCCTACCATTAGGCACCTGACTAGGCCAGGAACTTGGTGTGCAAAACCTTTAACGTCCTTGCTGCAGCTTCTGTGGGAATATAAACAGCACCACCACTGAGAACTGCACTATATAAGTCAGGGCTGACGATGCTTTGCCAGAGACAGCCCCTCAATTGCACTACTTGCATTTCTAGTCGTACGTTTTACAGCTTTAGTCTCTTTTTGAAATGTTAGGGTGCCATATGCCTTCTTGTGAAGCTTTAGTTGGATGCTAAATGTAAATAAGTGTTGTCAGAGCAGTGAGAAGCCTACAGAAAAGGAGACATTGAGCATCTCCATTTCCACTTTGGAGAAGTATAAAAAGCTGTAAATCCTTTATGTAAGACCCCTAATATCAAGGTTATCCCTGCTCAGGGTGCAGAACATACACGTGTGAACTATTTTGATGGTGCTTCCTACATTATCAATGTGCTTTGTACACGAAAAGAAAATGACATGGTAAGTTAAACAGATGTGTTTTGATCAGAAATATACAGAAGCAAATCCTCCATTCAGCGAGCTTCTGAGATGATAGAAGTTGAGATGCACATCCCTTGCAAGTGAACAGGAATGCAAGGAAAGGCATCAGTAGGACTCAGAATTGGGGGATTTATGGCACATGGTATGCTTCCAGGAGCCTTGATCAGGCTCACTGCTGCAGGCGTACAAGAATGCCCTCAAAATACAGATAGTTTTATTGTCACAACTTGCTCCTTCTCCCCACTTCCGCAAAAAAAAACCAACAAAAATCTATTTCCAGCATATTGGATCAATCCTATTATCCACCGAGATCAAAGAACTTTTCATCTCTAACTTTAAAAGAAAAAAAAAAAAAAAAAGATTTAAATGGTAGTTTTTAGCTTTGAGAAAACCTTCAAAGACACCTAGCATTTCCAGTAACATCAGATGGTTAGTGTACACTGCATTTGCAATTGAGAGGTTGAACACTGGGTAGGTTTTCACACCGGGAAAAAACTTCAGTGGTTTCGTGTGAGATTTGGGGAAATTAAAACATTCAATTAATACTTAACGCCCTTTTTTCATTAAGCATAAATATCTGAAAGCTATCAATATAATTTAACATAGAAATATATGCTTATAATATGTTTACTTTTATCCAGTGTTAATTTGTAATAATAAATGTTGCAATAAAGCTGTCTAGAACGACATATTACAACTTAGTGTTGTTAAGCAAATACATTAAAAAGCACAATAAAACTTTCTGAAAAGCAACTGTCTCTGGTCAAAGCAAAACTAGCCTGTGTTCATCTTAGAATTTCTGTTGAAAATTAGTCTTTCTTGTAGTTCTTTACATACTTTTTTATGCTTGCAAAACAACAGCTAATTTGACTGGTAAAGAAAAATCACCCAGAAATAAGGTCAAGAAATAAGAGAATTTCATAGACAGTTAAAAACAAACAAACCAACTTTCCTTAGCACCATAAATTCTGAGAGTTTCATGGAAAAAGGACCAAGATTTATCTTTTCAGATTTATCACTTTTTTTTTCATTTCACTTCTAGCTTACCCACTGACTCCCTCTGTGGTAATGAGCAGTTTTCTTAATACCAAACCAAACCCTCAGTGGTAAAATCACACTTTTTTTGTGGACTTGAAGAGAATTTGAACCAGGTGTTCAGACCCCCTGTGTTCAAGGGCTGATCAGCAATTAGTGGGCTGGCTACATGGCCAGGCTGTGGGGAGACCAGACTACATGGTCAGGACAAGTTTTTCTTTCAGTGCCTAAAACATGTGAAACTGAATATCCTACTTGCTGGCTTTAGAAGAAACCATTTCCAAGCAGTACCCCTTCTCCACCTGTGGCAGAGAAGGTAACTCTGAGAGTAATTGGCAACTACGCTGGGCACACAGCAACATACACCAGGCACACAGCAACCAGCCATAGCAGCAGGGAGCTCTCGCACAGATCCCATGGCAGCTCTTCCAGTCTCGTTCATAAAGACAGCACTCACAGCGCCATATGGAATAACTAACACACTGCCTAACATAGCTGAGGCAAGCCATTATTAACAGAGCTGGGCATTTTGCTTGATTATTCAGGAAAATTTGAAATGAAAGCACCTGAAGAAGTTTTGTATTTATCTAACACGGGTTCTAGGGGGAAAAGGCATTCCACAGAGACCAGAAAGATTTTGCAGGACCCCAGGAGAGACAGGCTGCTAATATTTCCAGTAATAGGTACTAGTTATTCAAATTGTGGAGCAAGCTGGCTACAAAATAGGTCTGAAAGCCTTAGAGGAAATACAACTGCAGTCTCTTGGTATAAACCATTTCCCTCTCTTACTCATCTGGATGCCACAAACACACATAAACAGAAAAAAGAATCCACCAATTTGTACCGTTGAGGGTATACATTTATAAGCTTTCAAATAGATCACTCCAAAGAGCAAGCTAATTTGGTGAAAAACAACCAACCAACCCTAAAAAAAAAACCCTGCAATTGAATCCAGAGAGTATCTACCTGTGCTTGTGGGCAGCAGACCAAAGGCGAGCGTGTTCCAGCACACCTGCACACGCGGGAGGCTGGGGGCAGAGCCCACCCTGCACACACCAGCTGCTTGACACAACCGTCGTTCACACACAGAAACTGAGAGCCAGCTCCCACGCTGCTGACATGGGTCCAGATCCACCTGGATCGTTTTACGGGGCTCAGACGCAGCACATCACACCTCCCGGGAATCACAGCCTGTCTCCTTAGGGTGAGAGCCTTCTGCTCTCGGTGCCATGAGGGCTGCCGAGGGACTGTCAGCAACGGCGGCGCTTCCTCCCGCCCGGGGGGACGCGGGGGAACGCAGCCGCTGCGTCCCGCGGCGCTCTGGCGCCCTCTGCCGCGAGCGGCCGTTACGCGGCGCGCGCGGCCGTTGGGGCCGTTAAGAGGCGCTGGGAGCGCGAGGGGCGGGGCGGTCCCGCCCACCGCGCACGCGGGGCTCCTCCGGCCCCGCCCTCCGCACAGATGACAGCTGTCTTGCGGGGGGGGACGTGGGGACACGGGCTCGGCGCGCCTGCGCACTGGCGCTCGCGGGCGCGGCCCCTGCGGCTCGCCGTCCCGTCCCGGCGTGCAGAGCGGCGCCATGGAGGCGGCGGGGCGCGCGGCCGGCGCCGACCTGTTCCACGGGCTCGTCATGGCCGAGGAGAGGTGCGGGGCGCGGGGCGCGGGGCGCGGGGCGCGGGGCGCGCGGCGGCCGGGGCTCCGGGAACCCGCCCTCTCTCCCGCAGGTTCCGCGGCGAGGGCTACCGGGAGGGCTGCGCGGAGGGCCGCCGCGCCGGGGCCGCCGCGGGCCGGCGGTGCGGGGCGCTGCGCGGCGCCGCCGTGGGCGCCGAGGTGAGTGCGGAGGGGGAACGTGGCGGGGCTTCGCCAGGCCGCTCCTCGCGCGGAGCGAGGCACGGAGCGCAGGGCGGCGGCGCGCAGCGAGCGGAGGTGCACGCACATCCCGCCCGGTTGCGTGTCCGCAGCAGGGGCAGGCGCCGAGCGGACAGCAGCCCTGCCAGGGCGAGCTCAGGGAAATAAAGTGCGTGGGAATGAACCAAGGAGCGTCACGCCGTGGGCAGGGGCCTTGGACGGGCATCCCCTTGGGCTCCAGGCGGCCACTGACCCCTGCAGGGACCGGCGCCTCTTCGCAGGAAGCCGGCGGCTCCGTGTCCAGGGATTCGGCCATCGCCGTTCGCATTCCATACAGCTCAGGGGCGAATCCGGCAGCCCTGCTGGAGCAGGATAAACTGGGGGCCTCGCTTCAAATGTGCTCCGGCACTTAACGGGGTGTTAGTCCCAAGCCCATGCTTAAGCCCTGGGAAAGGTCTCTGCTGTGTTGCAGTTTTGAACTTGAGTTCATCAGAGTCTGCTGAGTTTGCTTTAGGCATCTGCAACATTTGTGTGTCAATACTAAATCACTTCTGAAAGGCATTCCAGCTCTTTGCTCTCTGTGCTGCATTTAAGTAGTTCAGGGCTTATGTCATTTACTGTAATTACTTTTATTGTAACTTACTCTATCGTAACTTACTGAACTTTCCAACGCGGAAACGCAACTGTATATCCAGTGATTGGTCTTCTAGATAGTGAGCTGGAATGCAGTGTTTTGGTTTGGGCTATATATACATGTATATATTTTTCCCCACGTTGTTCTTACAAATCCACAGGTTGGCTGCTACCTTGGGTTTGCACAGACGTGGCACTGTCTGCTCCACAAATGCACAGATGAAAAGAACAGGTAGGGTTACCCAAACAAACAAACAAAAAAAGAACAAACACATTCTTTTAATAGTGCTTGGAATAAAGGTGTCAGTTTTTGCCCCTCAATACTGATAAGCAGAATAAAGGTGAGCAGAGGGCCACTAAATGCTGTCCCGTGCTGGAGCATGTGATATTGAAGGGAAGATGCCTTGCTTAGCTTGGAGAAGGCGAGGCAAAGGAGGGCTCTGTAACTGTATATAACTGCACTACCTAAGGGGAGGTTCCAGGTGGGATGGAGACAGAGCCTCTGCAGAGGGGCGCAGCGAAAGGGCAAGAGGCAGCGTCTGCAAGTGGCAACAGCTGAAATCCTCATGGGATGTCGGGGGGAAGTTCTTTCCTGTGTGGACAGTCTAGCACTGGGACAGGTTCCCCAGAGGTGATAGAGGCTCCATCCTTTCACACTTTCAAAATCCAATTGGATTGGATTGCCCTGAGCAAGCTGATCTGATCTAGCCCGCTTTGGAAAGTGGGCAAACAAGGTGACGTACAGGCATCCTTTTCCAATTGTGTTTTTTTCTATGACCTCTGTATTTTTTTCATAGAATAGCATATGCTTATGAAGTGAATTTCAAAGGAATACAACTCCTTAGTGAGCTAAATGGGAGTAAAACAAAAAAACAAACAAACAAAAAAAAAAAAACAAGGATGAAGGACTGGGTTCTCTGCTCTGAATTTCTAGTATGTAAATATCTGTATAATCTTCGTTAAGGCAGATGGATAAACAGTAGACTAATCATTTTTTTGTTTGTTTTGATCCCTTGTAGTAAGAAGATAAGAGTTCTGAATGCATTAATAGGGATGATTCAGAAATTCCCTTACGAAGACCCGACTTACGATAAGCTTCAAGAAGATCTGGAAAAAATCAGAGGAAAATATAAACAGGTTTGTAGAATTAAGTTGTTACTTTAGCAGAAAGTGTATGAATTTTCTGAAGAGATTTAATCTCTAAAGCTGCTTAAAAATAGAGCAATTACCGTTCTCCTTTTGGACTTATAGTAAAAGTACTTCAATAAGCTGAATTAAAATGATTGCAAATGCAAACTAAAATAAAAAATAAAAAATAAATTCTTTAAAAGGAAAAATTGAAAATATCATTTGTTAATTACTCAAACTACAAATGGGATTACAGGAATAGAATGGGAGGAACTGGGAGTTTTGGACACTTACTGGAGAGCAGAGGCCTTGCAACACTTACATGTATTCTTTTTTAGGTTTGCTCAATGCTAAATATTCAGTCTGATTTTAGAGTCAATACTGAAAGATCGTCACTAACATTTTGAGTATAGCAGAAGAGGACAAACTTGGATGACAAAAGAAGAAATATTAGAAGAACATATAACTAGGAAATGTTTTCCTACTCTACACAAAATAAAAATAGTGAATGGGTGCTAAACACTAAAGAGGGAAGAGAGAAAATCTTTTGAGCTTTAAATAGTATTCTCATATGTCCTTTTGCAGTTACCATCCAGGTTTTATTTAGGATCACTGAAGTATCAGGGTGTAAACCTGTTAAAAAGCAGCATCTCCTTTAATTCCTCACTAACCTTGCACCAATAAAGATTAATCCTTAAGAGGAGAAAGTTTGTTTGCAATGTTTCCTTATTTAAAGGAAGTATATGATTTTAAGAGCCTGTATATGTAGTTAAGTTTACACTCTGTGTATGTATTGTGCTACACCATGTGCAGTAAAATATAATCTATTGCCTGCTGAGTTTACAGGAGGGAACATCTTCATGGGTAAAGCATAAGACTGCAAATGGAACAGGAATGAACAGGAGATAATAACTAAGATACTTGATCATAAAGTAGAAGCAGCTGTGGCTCAAAACCCGAACATGGCCCTGTCCTTGGTGGGTGAAGCCGATGGGAATGTCAGAGCCATCTAGTGGAGGAGGTTGTTCTATTGTGTAAGAGACACATGAAAGAAATGCTGCTTGTGGGAGCTGACAAATATTTATGTAGGTAGGAGTTGCCAAAATGCAAAGTACAGAATATACATACGTGTGATTCAGCTCCTCGAACTAGGTGACAGACTCCTCTGAAATCTGCTTCAGCTTGGTTATGCTCCACGAACCTCTTAATGACGATGTTCTATGTTGCTTTTTTTTATATATTATAAAACCTTTGAATGTATAAACGTTTTTCCAGAACATTATGTTTAAATGTTGCTTTTGTAAAATTGTACTGTCTTATTATTAAATTTCACAATTTAGTAGTATTAGTAAAAGGTCTCTGCCTGCTTGTGCTCACTGGCCAACATGATTGAAAAGGCCTTGTTGTGGTGTGTGCGTGGGGCTTCCTCTTCTCCTGAAGCTGCATTTGAGATGTGAGAGTATGGCAGGTGCTGTCCAAAGAGCTGTGTTTAGGAAGGCTGAATAAACTTGTATGAGTCACGTTAATCACTTTAATAGTTCTTCTTTTTTTTTTTCTTCTAAATAGCAAACTGGGAGGAAAAGGTACAGAAAAAAATATGATCCTGTAGTTTCTAATATTGGTTCTTAATAAAGTTGGATGTTAAGACTTTCAGTTCTGTGCTCCTTGGTCTTACCGGCTGGAGTTTTTTCAGAAACACTTGATTTGAGAGAAAAAAAAAAGGATGGAAAATATCTGAAAAAGATATTGCAGTTACTGAGATTTTAAAATACTTTGCTGTATTCACCACCTCCGCTTCTGCTCAGTGGTTAGGAAAGAATGTTTGAAACCTCCAACTCCCAAATTTCTGACTTGTCCAGGCTGAGTTCTGGCTTGTTTTGTTTCATGCGTGATCCTTCCTGAGCTGGGTGAACCTGTGGAGCTGCAGAACATCGAGTCTTTCTCAACCACGGACACAAAGCTCAGGGAGTAAAGCCCACGCTTCAGTTTGTTTCTTTAGGGATTATAGAAGGTCGCACATTTTAATGACTTATTTCTAGAGAAAAGTTTGTAGATCTTCCTGCACCCTAATACCTCACAGTATTTTAGAATAGGAATGGATACCGTTTTAAGGGATAGGACTTACCCTGCTGAAGGAGATCAAATTCATCTGAATTTGCAAAGTTTTAGTATCTCTAAATACTGTTCTGTTGACAGCTTTTATCCTGCATGCATTTGTGTTGCTTTCTGAGTGCATTTTTAATGTGAAGTTTTAATACTAATCTCCACTGTAAGATACAGGAAGGGAGTAAAATTTTACCTTGTACTTTTAAGAATTGTGCAGCTAAGGGTCTAGATCCAATACTGATTTATTTTTCAAAGCTCACAAGCTGCCTAGGATGCATTTTTCATTAAATGCAGCACTATGTTTCAGCATGCGATCCAGTAGTGTAGATTCTTTTCTGGTTTCCTCCTCAAGACGGGCACCTTGTCCTTGGAAGCCTGTTGGACACTCCGTGTTTGCAGCTTCCCTGCAGTGCCGCAGGCGTGAAAGGCAGGGCGGATGCTGTTAGGGAATGGCCTGTGCTGGAGGCAGAATCGCCGCTGCCGGGGCCTTGCCCTGTCACAGCTACCTGACCTCCGCCTGCAGAGAATCCTGGTTTTCGACAAAACCACTGTAGTTCACCCAGGGCATTTCAGAGAAGGTGGTAACAAAGCTGACTTGGGCGGAGGAAAGCATGTGTTGTGTTCCTTCTCATCCTGTTATTAAAGCAAGGCTTTGTTTGAAACAAGAGCTCTGATATTTCTTCTGATGTTGTAATTAAGTCTTCATTTCCTTGGTGCTCTCCCCTTTTGCATATTGTGCTTTACAACCTCCCGTGGCAATGGATCCTGTGGCCTTGCTACGTTCTGTAACTCCAGATTTCGTAATTTGGAAAGTGACCATGATGTTCAGTCTGTGCCCAAAAAAATACCTGCTTTGGGCACTACTTTGAAAGGAGCCTTCAAGTTTTTAACTTTGTGTGCTCAGGTTTGAAAACATTGGTTTCCGTGACAAAGACAGGGGTGGAAGTTGGAGCTCCTGATTCTTTGGGACTGCCTGGGCCACAGTGGGCAGTGAGGTAGGTGGGGGTATCGTTGCTAGAAATAAAGACAGCTTAAAGAGCAGAATCAGTCCATCAAAGTTAGAGCTTTAAAGCACTGATCTCAATGGTAGCACAGTGCTCTTTAATATCCAGATGAGCTCTCTGTTCATACTGAAGACATTTGTTAGAAAATGTTCGGAATCACTCCGTAGTTGTTCCCATACCTGTGCAATTAACCAATGCGTCGCTCCGCGCGTCCGGCTTTAGTGTGGCAGAACTAGCTAGAGATGGTTTCTGGCGAGGAATAGCAAGGGGCTTTTGTCTGGAGCAAGTAGGAAGCTCGACTGTAGACACGCAGGGTTCGCGGGGTGCGACGGCAACACAGCATCTGAAGCCTTCAACTTACAAAATCATCTATAATCTCAAATTATGGGATTTGCTTTCAGTGAAATTTTGAGGTAGAGAAACAGCTAACCCTGCACTGTCCCAAATCAATGCCAGTATTTGCTGGGTTTTTTTTTTTTTTTTTTTCTGACTGTTCAGCAGCGTATTTGGCAGGTTTATTTCCGTAGGATCCGTGATTTTTTGATCTTCAGCATCCTCCAGATTGGGGCAGTAGTCGCCACTGCGTGGAATCTGTCTTGGTTGTAGGAACTGTGAGTCAGCACCCCTTTATTTTTTTTGGTTGCAGCCATTGTTCCAGGAGCAAGCTTTACTGCTATTGTCCACTGTTTGTCCAGCTCACGTTTACTGGGCTGTGGGAACGGATTAGGGTTTCATGGCTTTTTTTTCCTTCTTGCATAAACTCTTGATCAAAGACATTCCTTGGATGACAAAACACTGTATACTGTGTCACACAGTCCTGACCAGACTGCACGAACAGTAGTTTAAAAACACATGCCTACATTGTTCTCTTTTTTTTGTTGCTGCAATGTATGTGCAGACACTGAATTTTTGAGGCCCTCTTTACCACCTTAGAAGTAACTCCCATGCAGAATGTATTTTTGATAAGCATTTGACAGTTTCTGAAATAAAAAGGAAAAATGAATATTAGTAATTGGTAAAAGGAAGGCTCTGTGTAATAGCATGTCTTTTTTAAGGACAACTGGAGGTTTCATTTGCCTGTCTCCTTCTTGAGGAGACCTTAGATATGGCAGTTAGTTGGGACCATTTTAATTCTAAAAGGACATGGACTTACGGCATCTCCTGCTTTTTTTGTTGTTGTTGTTGTCATACTCAGAACAACTGAGTAATATGGAGAATAAGTTGAGTGCCAGTTGGGAATGTTTAGGGCTGCTTTGGCATACGGGCCTTGTCCAGCCTGCGTGCTCACAGCTGTGTTTCCGTTTGAGCAAGCTCTGTTCTGTCTCGCGTGAGACTGGACTTCACAAAAATCCACTAGCATCATTCGTGTGGGAAATGGAGAGAAAGCAGCATATCACATTACAGAGAAAGATGCGGAAAAAGAGGCTTTTTCAGGTTTTTAGGTACAATTTCTCCTCCCTTGGCAGACGTTGGGGAGAAGCCCCCGGAGGTGTTTTCAGGGCACCTACTTTGCAGTTCAGGGGCCTTCCAGGGCCTGAAGCGCTTACAAGTATGTCCAGAGTCAATGAGTAGAACAAATGGTATCATGTTTATAGTTAAGTCTTGGTGGCTGTAGATGTAATGGTACTAGGAGTTGCTTTGCTGACTGCGTTCTGCCGTGCGGGTAACGCTGGCACTGTCACCTCCTGTCCAGACTCGGTGCGATGCCTTCAGAGAGGCTGTTTGAGAGAGGAGCAAACCATAAACAACAGCTGTGGTTTCCTAGGCTTAAGCCTACGTAAGCTGAGCGACAGCTTGACTGCGTTGAAAGTCACTGCGACCCCCATTAGAGGCTCTCTTTGGTGCTCCTGAATTCACCGCAGTGGCCTCCTACCAGTGTGACCGGAGTGCAGCGAGGAGGTGCCCACATCTCACGGGATGAAGGACAGCCCTGTATCCCTGTATAGAGCTGTATCCTAAAGCTGCACGTAACACTCGGAGCCAGGCGCTGGCAGGCACGGTTGCTCCACCGCTGTGGTTCTGCCCTGGCTGTGTCCTGGCTGAAGTGACTGTAAGGTGAGCGGCTCACAGCGGCTCCGCGGCTGCCCTCCCATCTGCCGGCAACCACCTGGTTTTTCTCCAGTCCATGATTCACAAACAGCATCTTCTTCTTGCTTCCTCTTCACCTCCAGAATCAGCTGTAACGCAAGCTTGAGTGAGGAGGCACATGCTCCATTTCTGGTTGGAGACAGGAGAGAAAAATGCGACCCTTTAAACAGACCACTGCTCTTCTTCAGGCAGAAATGAGATCATGCTTTCACATACTCTCTCAGGCTAAACATTCACTCCATAGGCGGGAAGCCTGACTGTTCTCCACCAGGAACAAGCAGTAGCTTCTGCTGTGTCCGGCTGTGACGATGAGGCAGCGTATCCCCAACTCCAGAAGGTTAAGCTGGAACGTGAGCTGGGACACAGCACTAACTGAGCCCAGTCTCAGCTTGTAGATAATCATATGCAACTGCTGTAACACTTCTCTCCCACTAAGCCTTCTCTTTACATACTTGTAGTAGTGGGCTCTCCAGTTTCTTCCACTTTATCATCAATCTCAGCAATAAACAGAAACATGTAAGAGCTGTATATGAGGCGGGGGGGAAGAAGCTATATTAATTTTACTGCCTTTAAAACAAATTATCCTGCATAGAGGGTTCTAGGACACAAAACCTCACACTGATAAATAAATACAAACAAGCATTCTGTAGCATCAAACACCTACTTTATTTTACCTTTATTGAAAAGAACCACCAAAAGGTATTTTGCTCTCAGTAATCTTAGATGTTTAAAGGAAAATCTTCAGCAAAAGTATATTTTGCTTTTTAAAATACACATTACTATGACAGGCAGTCACTTACCCATTGCTAAAAACACCTACAGTTTCATAAAATAACGATAAAAGGATTCATTGCAACTATTAACTAAAAGATGCATTGCAACTATTAAAGCATGGACAGTCAACACTAGAAAAACATGTTGCTTACTCGGTGCATCAGGTAGTTACTACCATTCAGCATTCGTGAATGTAATTTAAAAAAAAAGAAACACAACAAGCAGACATTGGGTTTTACCAATTTTATTTCTAGACTTTAGGTTTTTTTTTCTTTTTTTTTTTTTTGCTGGAAACTTGTCTGTTACAGGTCTGTGGGTGAAAATGTGCATTTCAGACCAGTGATGCCAATAAGTACAATATAAAAAAAAGTACAAATCTGAATTGCTTGCTTACTACAGATTGTTATAATATCGTGTGAGAAATAAAGCATCTCTGTTGGCACATGAACCCACCGATCTGGATTTGGCCATTTAGTACATACAATATTTAAGAAGTTTTGTGGTACGCACTGCCACTCAGTGTAACACAAAATATAACCAGTAACCACTAACTCAACATCATCAGGTTTGGTTCAGAGACACAGAGATGCCACCAACAGAAGTGTTCATGAGGTAAGCAGTAAGAAATGTTCCTGAAATTGGGACAGAATGTATCCAGTCCTCCTGGGTCCTGCGACTGCTAGTAGCACTGCAATGCCTTGTTTATGCACTAGGTAGGGTCTTAACTGCGTTCGCCCTCAAAATTGAGTTCTAATTCTGTTTTGGTTTAGCAGCATACAGGCAACAGCTAGATTATTCTTCAGCATACAACTCTGTTAGCTGGCTTATTTATGAGATTTACAGGCTTTTTTTAAATTAGCATTATGCTATAATAAAAAAAAAAATAAAGAAAACCAAAACAAAAAACCCCTAGTATATCATAACAGATTAAACACACAAAATACTTAAAGAGTTCCAGAAGATAAGCCTATCATACCAAATGATGTGTCCCAACTGGTGGGAAACCGCATCAGCTGGCACATAAGAGTTACATTATAATGCACCTTTCATATATCAATGTGGCTAATAACACAGCTTAAAACTACTATGATAATAAACCCCAGATCAGACAAAGAATCCAGCTTTATAAAATGCGTAACAACAACAAAAAAAACCTTGACATTACTTGATCTTCTGAAATGTCTGCTGTTTTTAAGTTAACACAACCTAGTTGCAAATCGCGAGACCCATTCAGAAAGACGTTCGATGCATTTCAGTTTGCAGTAGAACTATGAGGCACTGTGTACGAACATTAAAACCTGGTCTAGACACGGGTAACTGAAGTATGAGGTATTGTGAAACAGGAGCCTTTTTTTGGAATAGAGCAGTAATCACATTAAGTAAAAATTGATCACATAAAAAATCTACAAAAAAAATGATGTCAATAATATAATTTTCTATGAGAAAATTAAAACCTATAACATGGCAGTATATGACATTGTATAACAAAAAAAAAAATGATCCACAAAATAGCAGCAAAACACAATGACAAAGATACAGAAAAGCAATGTTAATTTTTTTTTCAAACCATGCTGGGAATTTATCCATAGCAGCTCAATAAAAATGGAGCATCCACTCCTTTTCTTTTCTCTTTTTCTTTTTTTTCTTTTTTTTTTCCTCTCTTTTTTTCCTCTTTTTTTTTTCTTTTTTTTTTTAACAATCAACACCTTAGCGGCAGTTTTCTCACATACGTTTTACCATCACATTCTCCTCGAGCGTCAACTTCAACAGCTATGTCCACGTCCCTTCAGCTACTTTCTAAAATAATAATAAAAAGATACATAGCCAAGATGTGCAAATTTTCTAGTTGTAGCTAAATTAAAACGAAAAAAAAAAAAGGGGGGGAATATACTGGAATAAGAACTTCTTTCAAGTACTCCAATTCTCATAACTATGGCGTTTTTCATGGTTAGACTGCTTTTGAAAATGAGTTAAGAAGGGGCCAAGTAGACTGTTTTGAGTTTGTTCTTTGAAGAGTATCCTTTTTTCTTGAATAAGCTGTTAAAACTGCAACATCAAGGGTAGAAAGATCATGCTTTTTTTTAAAAAAAAAAAGGGGCGATTGCATTATTTTACAAATCATACTGGCCTTATGAACATCCTCTGTAATAAATATTCATTCTTTTTTAGCCTTAACTATAAATTATATATTTTAGTGTTTAAAAACCTTCAGTTGTAAAACATCTAGAGACAATCCTTAAACTATGTGTCCTATACGTGAACCTTTAAGGCCCCTAATTTACAAAGATGAGTTGGCACCAAAGGATTTCTAAACTTCAACTTTTCTATAGAAAAGGATAGGAAGATATCCTGGCAATTTGTGAATGCAATTTCTCTCGCTGGAACACAACCTTCAGAAAAAAATCACCTTTCCTCTAACACCATAGTTAAATGCACTTGCTTTGCAATTCCAAGTTTGCGAACAAGCACTTATATATTTCCAAACCATTCCATTAAAAAAAAAAAAATCCCACACAATAAAAGAATGTATTTCCTATATATCTAATGGACTGAAAGTGCTTTGAATGGAATGGTTTTAGAATATTATAAAAAAAAAAAAAGACTAAACTGTGGATTGAACCTGACGATAATTAGGCTGAATATCTGTGGGGTCAGACCAGCATTTTTACACAGGTAACTACAAAAATATGAAGATTACAAAAATATAATATATTATGTCACTATTTCGGTTTCTCTTTATAATAGAGTATCGTATGAGTAGTACATTGGCCTTTCCCGACAATGCTAAGCTGGAACCCTACAAATGCCTCCTGTACAGGCAATCCACAGGCACAAAAAAAGATTAACATATAATAATGCTGTATACTAACATATACTAACTTATGGGTTACGTTAACCATTTATAAGGTGAAGAGGATAAAAAAAACACTAAAGGAATAAAATAAACATTTACAGATGAATTATAAAGTGACTAAATGCATAAGCAAGCAAGATACAGAAAAGCCTAGAACTGCGTTAAAGCTATGCTTTTTTAAAGAAAAAAAAAAAGAATATTTCATTTACTATCAAAAAAAAAAAAAAAAAAAGATAACCCTCTTCTACTTTAAAAATGGTTTGTTGGTTTGTTTTATATGTAAGAAATCAAATCTAATACCTCCCCTGGAGACATTTTGTGTGTTAATGCCTATTTTTACAACATACAGACAAGAACACTTTAATATAAAAACTAGTTGATTATTATTGTATAAAATCTTCTATTTTTGTAGCACAAACCCCTGGGGGTAATGCAAATACTATTTTTTTCTTTTTTTAAGACAGTTTTTGGGGTATTTTTTGTTTATTTGTTTGTTTGAAGTCACAGATGGAAGGGAGACAGAGCAAGGAAAAAAAACAAGAATGGTTTTCCCTTCTGGTATAAAAATGTCCTGGAGAAAAGGGTTTCTGGGGGGTAGATCCTGACGCTGATTCCTTCTCAGATGCCCTTTCTTTGTCTGCTTTTCTCGCCAAGCAAACCCCTTGGTAGAAGTCCTCTTAAATGTTCACATCTCGCACATCAGTAGGTGTGCAGGAAAGGTCTGCTTCGTCCTCTACAGTCTTTGTTTCTGAAGATACGTTGTGTTGCTGTGCCTGGCGTAGACTGGATTCAAGGAGGGATTCGATCTGTTCTTGGCAGGCTCGTAAACAATCCTAGAGAGGATTAAATGGAAGGAGAAAAAGACCCAGGGTCCTTTAGAAAGATACTGAGATCACAAACCAAGTACCATTTCTTGAAGAGGCAAGAGAAATGCGATCAAATTCCCTGAGATGCAGCAGCCTGAAAGGAACGGGGGAAGAGCGAGAAGAAGACTGAGCAGCGAGGATGGGCCAAGGTGCCCAGCCGTGTGCAAGACACAGCCCGGATCTGAGCGCAGCCTCTGGGCTGGAGCTGCTCCGATGCTGAAAGGGCTTCTACTCTAACCACGGAAATGCTTTGGCAGTGCAGGCTGCTCCATGTGAACGGTGGGCTTCCCAAGCGCGAGTCTTGACGACACGAAGCTCTTGGGGAAAGGGGAAAGCTGCACAAATGACAGGGCCTAAGTCCCAGCCCCACTGACACTATCACTCCAGCTTAGCCGATTGATTTCCAACTCAGAAAGCATTTGGAAAAAAAATAACTAGATAGGCTGCGTGACCCCCAAACGGAGCCCGAGCTTTCCATGTGGTTCCTAAAGGCCTGCACAGCCTCTGGCCACACTCTGCTGGGCCGAGGCGTTTCCGAGCTGGACCAGCGGTGCCCGGGGCTGGCTGTGCCCCCAGGGCTCTCCCTCGTGGCGGATCCCACGGCTGCGGGAAGGGCCCTTCCCAATTCCCCACATCCGACTGCGTGTACGCAGACTCGGCAGGGCCCCTTAGCGCAACCCGCGCCACTCGCTGCCGCCCAGGCCTGCGTGTCCCCGTCACGGGCCGTGTCGTGTGGACACAGAATCGGTGCCGTCAGTGGGGGAAAACATGGCCCTGCATTTTGCCACAACTCCTCCAGCCGGCTGTTTACTCCCATCTTCATAACAAACACCGTAAGCTTTTTCTCAACATATTTAGCTCTGTGTATGAAGGACTTTGAAGTTTCCTTTCAGTGCTGCCTCCTCTGATTTAACCTATGACATGTGTTAGCCCTTGCGGTGAACCCAGTCTTCCATGATAAATTGCCGTCAAAAGTGTTAGGATGTGCATGACTGAGAATGAATGTTGTTTTCCTGAGAGGGTGACCTGCCTGCTGTTTTCTTTATTTCCCAGTTTCAATTCTGCCTTCATTCAGAGGCTTCTTGTGTGATCTACCAGCTTTTCACCGGTTCCACTGCCACAAGAATCTCCTCTGCCACCAATAAGGGCACATGGCATTTGGGGTAAAATAAGATTAGAAACCCAAGCAAACAATTCTCTGCAAGCCCTTTCTGAGGGAGAGGGAGGTTAATCCTACCTCTAAGCAGATCAGACCATCAGTTACAGCTCACTGAAAACACATAACCTATGACCTTTCCTGGTTTAAACCCTAGTGTAATATTTCCTCTTGACAGAGACACACAGCGTTTTAAATGACAAAAAGCAACGCCTTGTATCCTAAAGTCATCCTGCCTTTGGCTCCTACATACCTCTGGCCTGCCCAGGAAGGCTCCTGCCCAGTGCCCTCACCCATCCAGGATGGGACAGATGGGACCTCCCTGTACCCGGCGCTCCGGAGCACGACCCTCTCCCACGCTGGGCATGGGCAGCTGTGCTGGGGCGGGACACAAGGACAGCGCTCGGGTTTTGCGCTTCTCAGGTGCCCAGCACTTTGAAGACGATTCTATCCAGGTAGTGCGTCCAGTGCTACAGACTAAAAGTTGGTTTGTTTGCACAGCAAAGCAAGTCCTGCTTCTGTTTTGGAAATGCTGCCATTTGATGAGAGCCCGTCTGAGCTCTGAAAACCAACACACAAAGTAATTCCTGTGAACTAAGCAGCTAGGACGCTGTGAGAAAGGATTTCTGTAAGTACCTCCTCTTCTGCCTCTGCAGTCCAGTCATGAATAATTACACTGCACTACATAAGTTAAAAGTAATTTTGACCACTATTTTTTCCTGTGAGATTCTGAGAGTACAGCATGTTATAACTCCACATTTTTAAAGATACATAACCTTCACAAATTATTACGAACAGACTGTGTCCTAAGCTACAGTTCAGTGAACAACTATTTTTGAAATGTCTTAGGCATTTTTGGCCAAATCATTTTTGCTCAGATAGCTACCAGCTGAGCAGTTTGTCTGCAGGAGCGACTTAGAGCTGGCAAAAATAACTGCAAAATATGAAATTCCGTGTGAACAATCCCACCGGAGTAGTTTTTCATTCTTAGTACTTCTCAATACTCAAAAGCAAATACAAGACCGGTGTGTTACTCTCTTAACTTCTCCCAACAACTTTTCTGCTTCGCTACCCAAATTTTCAATGCCCACAGTTTGTTCAAGGTCATAAACCCTTCCTGGATTAATTAAGCTTCTCAGTGAAAAAAAGGCTTGCTAGCTTCACTTATGTGGTCAAATACCTTTAACACACACAACAGACACCACCAGACTCCAGGGTCAGATACAAAAGGAAACAAACAACAACAAAGAGCAACTGCTTGGAGATCCTTTGTTCCTGCCTGCCCTGTCCTGGGCAACGAGCACATGTTTGAAGGTGCCTCTGAGGAGGGGCAGGCAGGGGACACATTCCCGTGTCCCAACAGACAGCAAGGAAACCCAATCTCATCCAGTCTAGCAAATTTCTGGCCTGGAAATGAATGTCAGGTAAAATTCAATCTGTTTGGATGATGAGGTCAAGAATAGAATGATGGAAGACAGCCCAAGACTTCTAATTGTGATTATCTGACTTCTAATTACCCCTGATCAAAGGCAAAATGGGAAATTGGACTCCTACCAATATAAACATAAACCATAAAGGAATTCCAATCAGGTGATATTCATTTTACTTTAGATTCAGTCTTCTTTGAGACTAAAGGTAAAAAAGCATGATTATATAACCTGAAATCCAACAGAGCTGCTGGTCTAGCCAATATGATAATCAGGCAGAATGGTAGTCACGCTTTTATAATGCAACGCACACTCTTAATATTTCGGGACAACCCAATATAAACACGTTCAGTTGCGCGGCTTGACAAGAGGAACCATCCCTGTGGGGCAAGGTAAGAAGCTTCATACAGACATTAAGGTTCAATACTCCTGGTTGCACAGGTAAGTCTGCAGGACATCTCAATAGAGGCAATTCAGGCTTTGTACAGGACCAAGCAGGTTTCTCTACTTGAAATAGGAGTGAGAGATGTTCTCTTATTAAGAGCAGTAGTAATGTCACTCTTAAAACACCCCACAGGGAATTAAGATGCAAGTAATGCTTCCAGTTCTGAAGTACTTAACTTCTTTGGTACAATTCTGTGATGATTCCGATTTTCTGAGGCAGGCTACATAAGAACATTATTTCAAATTCCTGCTATTCTAAAGCCTAAGGCAACAGAAGTTGAAGGACAGTTAATTCTTCTTAAAGCTCTTAATTTTAAGTTCAGGTCACACAGACTGTGGCTTTACAATGATTCTGGACCATAAAAAGAAATAACCAGCAATTATCCTCCTTGTTAAAGATACTTTCTTCTCTTTTAAATGAGCTCCAACATCAATGAAGTCAAGTCACATAAGGACGTGGTGTTGTTCCCCATGATGAGAGAATCTATTTTAATGCTGTGTATCAGGAATGATTAAATAATATTTTTGTTTGCATCAGATACTCACTATCAGTACAGATAGCAAGCCTAGGATTTTTCCTAAGTACCTGCTTTGAATATCACTGGATAGAAGCCAAGTGCTCGCTGAAAGCATTGCAGGTACAAGCCCCACTGAGCAGCATGATATTTACAACGTCTTACTTCAGCATTTAAACTGCTCATAGTATTTAATGTGTCAGTGCAGGATCCATGTTAGTTTTGCTACAGTCATATAAATGACAAAAATAACATGCTAAATACTGAGACATTGCTCAGGTGAACAAAATCATACCCTTTGGTATGATTTGGTATTTGCCAGAATATCCCACAGATAGTCTATCAAATTCCTCTTCTATGAAGAATCCCTGGTGATGCATTCATCTTTCCAGAAATGGTTCAATCTTGTCAGCAAAAGTCCAATTACACTGAATTTGTTTTGAAGTGCCTGGACTAATACAGCTCTCCCCATATTCAAATTATGAACATGTAAAACAGTTTCACAGCATCTCAAAGATGGTGCCGCTAGCCACAGGGTTGTCTTTATTTGACTCATTGTCCAGTGCTTGGAGACCTCACAAGAACCTTTTTAAAGCATCTATTTATTGGTCTTCCACATTGTTACAAAACAAAGCTCAACTCTGCCCCAACTTCACACACCATTATGACATGGATCATTGACTTTAGGTCTTCCTTGTAGGCTCCCTTCCTGGCCCATTCACTCATGAAAGGTTTATTGCTCACTAGTTACTGATGTGCATCTCCTGGAAGCTGCGGGGCAAAACTGGAGTCCTGTGAGGACCATCTACCTAGTCAGAAAGTCGTGGGACAAATGGTTGTTCCAAAAAGGAATTCAATACCAGCTACTGTGCAGCTCTAGCACGTAATAAACCAAATTAGATCATTAGAACTCAATTTTAAGAAGGGCTTTTTCACACCACTTGTCACAATGAAAGGTCTCAAGAACAGTCAAAGATAAGGTCAGAGATACCAGGAGGTCTATTTGCTGCAATCTTTGTAACTATGTCCTTATTTTAAAGTCTTTGTTTTGCACAGACTCCCCGCTTTAATTGCCTACCTCTAAATGGAGCCTCTGCAATTGTCTTATAATAAAATTTGAGGTTTCCTTTGCTTTGTCAAATACACCTGTCTTACAAAACAGGAGAACTGTTTTCATCAATGAACCGCAGCAACATGACTGCTGGGTACTAACAATATACAATGATGGCTAAATGACTAGGGCAAAGGCATGTTCAGAAATCACAGGCAGGCTTCGCTTTCAGCGAGGTTTGCTGTCAGCTCAGCTGCTGCGCACTGAGCAGGCTTTTGCTCTGAAACTCTGAGGCAGGACATCAAGAGAATCCAAGAGAGTCACTTACCGGGTCACATTTGATAACTTGTGATAGGAAATGTGTGAGGCATTGATAGGAGAGGAAAGTGTTAGTGTTCCCCAGATGCAGGCCTTGCACAGCAGCTACCACACTGCCAGCTGCAATCATGGAAGGCGGGTTTGAAATAAATTTGACATCTGTAGGAAGAGAGAAAAAGAAATAAAAAACCATCAAAACGATTTCTTTAGGACAAGCCTTCTCATACACATGCAGTCTCTTCTGCAAAGCAGCACAGGCAGGTCTCAGTTGCCAACTACTGCATTAAAAAGGCAGGGAAATTATGAATAGAAAGGTGCGCAAACCTGTAAACACTGATTCACAGAGGCAACTCTCCATATTGAATAGCCCTTCCGAGCAGTAGGCTGGGGAGACCACTCATCACATTGAGATTATTTCTGCCACAACAGGGCTCCCATTCTTCAAATGTTTAAATATTTCACTCACATGAATAATATCTTTCAGGTCAACAGCACTATGCTTTTGAGAAAACCTGTTCACATTCTTCAGTGTTTGGCACAACCAGATCCTAAGTACGCTGTAATAAGGAGCCTCTGGGCCCCTTAAAGCAGAAACCTTTACACTGACATTAAAAGGAATATAACTTTTAACGAACAGAAAGAAAGAAAGAAAGAAAGAAAGAGAGAGAGAGAGAGAGAGAGAGAGAGAGAGAGAGAGAGAGAGAGAGAGAGAGAGAGAGAGAGAGAGAGAGAGAGAGAGAGAAGGACTGCTTAACCCCGTCAGGAGGCAGATAATCCATATTTAAATTAAGGTTTCATCTTAAAAATGCTTTGTCTCAACCTAGTCTCTTGTCAGTGGCTGCCATCCATCCTGGCAACAGGGATTTAATGTAAATGTGGCATAACTAAGTGACGGGGGTCCCAAGAATTGGCGGACAATCAGTTACATTCTGATGTGACACCATGCTGACAAGAGGCTGGGCCCCCTTCCAGACTGCATTGCTGTAGGTCTCTCCACAAAGCCACTCCCATGATTCCTTAAGGGGCTATCTCTGCCATTTAGCCTTTTTTTTCCTTCTTCTTAATAAGAATAATCCACATTTTAATGCTAAGGCTCTTTCTGCTAAACAGGAATGTGTTTGATCCAGGGCAGCGTACACCTTGGAGAAGAATCAGAAACAAAGCAAATAAGTGGCACAGGCAAATGTCTGATTTTGTGCAGGAGAAAGGGGAAATACCACATTATACACAAGAACCTGAGATACATTCCTTCAGCTTTTATCAGAACACAACTTCCTCTGGGTTGAAAAAATATAAACCATCTGTCAAACTCCTGAATGAAATCAAAGGAGTGGATAGCTTAGAGGGCTCAGTGGAAGAGTTTAAGTATTAAATCATGCATCTCTTTTATTATGATAAAATAACTTTTGTGTAAATGTTTTACCAGTGAAACTAAAGGCCTTCAGGACTCTGTGAAAGTCCTCTCTGAATCTATTCACGTACCCCTGACAGTCCATTGTAGCCCAAGCAATACCCCACCTTCAAAAGGGCCGTTTCACCCACCATCCTAGGAGCCTCCACAACGAAGCTCACGGGATTAGTTGTGGCCGATTTTTTTTGTGGAAGAGGCAACAAAAGGCCCAACTGTATCTGAGGTCACCTCGCCTTTGTTAGCACATGGAAAACCAATTTCACTTTTCCCCCTTCTCCTAATCCTCCATGTGCCGCCACATACAAACACATGCAGCTCCCAGCAAACTTCTCCCTTCCCAGGTAGTAGGACAGTCTGGTTCCTGGCGATGCCTCCCTTCGGAAGAGCCCTCCCTTGCTGCAGGCAGGCCTCCAAGGCAGGGGTTCCTGCTGAGGGCAGGTTCAGGTTCCACCCCGTGCGGCCGCTCTGCTCGCAGGGGAGCAGCGTCCGGGGCGGCACCCGCAGGGCATCGGCGGGAGGCGCCAGCAGGTGAGCGCGGCCCGGCAGGAGCCCCTCTGCCATCCCGATTTGCCTTCTGCACTTAAATAGGGCCGTAAACAAGAACATGAATTCGTAGTCACACCCTCATTCTTTCCAAGGTGGAAAAGTGATAATGAAGTTTAAATGACCAGTTTGTGTCTGTCCCTATAACCACTCCAGACAAGCAGCGTGGACTGCCTTTTTGTTGCAACTCAACAAGGAATTATTTGTGGCAGAGGCCACTAATTTCAGCATATTAATCAGGGGGCCCCTCTCGGCTGTAATTGGATGCCCCCAAGTGAAGAGTGTGGCATCATTGTCAGCCTCCATCGCCTCATCTTGCGCTATTGAGCGCTCAGGAACAAGGGGGCTTCGGTGAGATGAATTAGACCTGACACAGCCACAATGGGGCAGGGGGCCCCATCAATTGAAGCACACATCCCCAGTAGCCTATCTGAGACTTCATCCAAAAAGAATAAACAACTTCAGCGTTGTTAAAAAGAGAGAGAGAGCGAGAGAGGAGGGGGAGGAGAGAGAAGAATGCCAGCCACCCTGAAGGGAGGACAAAGCAGGCATATAGGCGCTGCAGCGCTTTAAAAAAAATTCCTAACAAGGCGAGTCACCCCTTTTCCTTTTTAAATGGAGCAGCAATTCCATCCGTCTGGAGAGCTGGGGGCTATGAATGAAAATCTTTTCATTGAGGCAAATCAAAACTGTGAACATAAATCACTTGCTGCAAGATGCAACAGGTTCCAACTGGTCACATACCTTGAGACTCCCAATTTTATACAGGCCGGAGAATAGAAGAACTCTGGCGCAGTTGTTTCAAAGGGACGCCTCTCTCCGTCCGAAAGCAACAACAATAATAGCAATAGCAATAATAATAATATAAAGGGAGCCTGGTATGTTTTGATAACCAGAAGAGCATAATGAAATGCTGAAGCTCCAATATTTGTTGCTATTCATTGTTATGCTTGTATAGAGCTGCAGCTCTCCCTCAACACTGGTCTTAACTTGGGCCAAAAGAGGCCTGTTTCCTTTTGAGCTCTCCCTGCCTCGCCCGGCCATGCCAAAGCCTCATTCATTAAACTCAATTATGTGTTAACTTCAAACAACCCCTGGTCATTTTTTTTCTTTTTCTTTTTCTCCCTAACCTACCACAGCACAAAGACATACTCCGCTGAAATATATTTTTCAAAACTCAACCAAATCCAACAAATCCACTTCTGCTGGGCAGCCAGCTGGACCAGGAGGGAACTGGGAGGAATTCCCCTCTGCTCCTCCTGCGGCCGCATGTGCTCGCGCGCGCCTCCCGCCTTCGCCTCGCTGCGCTTAACAGCCCCACGTGTCATTTTCCGGGAAAAGCAACGTTATTTTGCCAGACCTTCTCACGACACCTTCCCGCAGCGGGGGACGCTGGCTGCATTCTGCCCACCACACTGCCCTTGCCCGAGGCCGCAGAGGCGAGTTCCACGGCGTTTCCAGTGGACTTTGGCTCAGGCCCTGCGCCGGGCAGGCGGGTGCCGGGCGCTCGCAGCCTCCTCCGCTCGCTGGGGCGAGGGGGGCAGCGCAGCCCAGCGCAAGCCAAGCAAAGTCCACATGCTGCTGCTCAGCCACACCGGGTCTTCGCCGCCCGACAGAGCAGCCGTGAGGAAACGAGGCACACAGAAAGCCCGCACATCCAAAGAAACAATAAAAATGCAGAGCCCAGTGGCAGCCTTCCTCGACGCTGCTTCCTCGGGCAATATTCCCAACAGCTTCAGTAGGGAGCTGACGAGGGCCCCAGTTCTGGTGAGCTCAGCGCTGTTGTTTTAAAGCAAAGGAAAATTCCCAGAACATGGTTCCCATTTACTGATCCATTCTCCAGCTGTGGTGTGCAGCACTATTAAATAAAGGCTCTGGATGTGCTTCCTAAAAGAAACCTAACGACACCAACAGTAGATCAAAGTACTGGACTTTTAGCAAGTCCCCCAACCTTTGAACTACTCTTGTTTTCATCCCTGTCATTGCCAACACAACAACCTAGGTTAAATATCCCTGAATCTAAAGGAGAGCCTGGGTAGCTTTCTTTTTAGTTAACTGAGGTAGCTTCCAACTCAGCAAATCACATATTTGCAGTCAGAGCAGCCTTATGTGGTTCAATCTGTTGTGCACAGTGAGTCTGATTTTCCCCAAATCCTGCTGCAGGTCCTCGGAAGGCTGGCTGAGCGCAGCAGGCTCCGAGCATGGAGCGTTATTCCAGGCAGGCTGACTTACCAACTGCCTCCTACTCTGATGTTAGGCTCAAGATGAAAAGCAAAGCCACTGTTTATAAATTTCTCTTTTATGGTTCGTTCTATCTTTAGGCCTTGCAATAGAGCTGACTCTATGAAAACAACATTTTCTTCTTCTAAGTGTCTGCAATCTTTCTTAAATCTTTTGACAAAATCCATCTATCTGAAAATAAGCGATAAAACATGTTTTTTTTTTCGTTCACTGACTACACACGTCCCACCAAAGTTTTCAAGTGTAGGGCACCTTTTCTCAAGTTGAAATGCCCATTTGACTTCTTTTCTTAGTATAAATGCTATTAAATGTTAATATTCAGTAAAGCACTGTATCTCCTTTACAGTAAATTTTTCAGTGCTAGCGGGGTGCCTGGCACTTCTCCTTACATACTAAACAAATTTGCTTTGGCTGCTTTTTCTGATTCTTTTGTCACTCCTGGGTTTGCCTTGCCACACTGAAAGGAAATGCAGTGAACACATTTTGTTCAAATGGCGCTTCTTCAGTTTTGAACTTCCTTTGTGCCCACTCCTCCACTCTGTCCTGCGGGAACGGCAGGGTCTGGAGAACAGGGAGACTCTCCTGAACTTTCTTCCTTCTCACTCGTTCGGGTCGAGCGCCTGGAGGCCGCGCACGGACAGACGCACACGCTGCACATGCAAACCCGGAGCTTCAAAGCAAGCGTGCGCGCACACACGCGGTGAGTGCCCTTGAAAGCAAAGACCGGGCCTCTGCAAACCCAGCCTAGCCAACAGTCGGCGTCTTTGGCTCCTCTGGAGGCCGCCCCTGCACATGGCTGCAGCGCAGCACGTGGTCAGAAGGGTGCAGATGGCAGAGACTCGGTCCTGTGCCAGGAAAGCCTCTGTGCCGCGTGGCCCTCCTCCAATCCGGCAGCCACAGAGGAGGGGGAAGAGGCAACTTGAAGAGGGAAGTTTTAAAACCCCCACGCAGAGCTATTCACAGGCCAACTCGCTCGCTCTCTGTGCCTTTAAACACCATCTTAAGAATGAATCCACACAGAGGGATTCCCCATATGGGCCGTAAGTCTTTTGCAGCCCCGCATAAAACCTGATAAGCAGAGGTGAACAAATGGTGCCACTCGGAGCGCAAACCCAACCGCGGAGCTACCAAGAAGTGCTCCTCCTGCCCCTCCAGAGCACAGGATCTCCACTTGCTCAACTCAGAAGAGTATCTTCTGAAAAACTTACCTCCACAAAGTAATCCACCTTCTGCAAACAACCAGGGGCAATAATGAGGGCTTAAATTACCTCCCCTCAGCTCTGCGGACTCACTCTAGTCCACAGCTACAGGGAGCCTTACGAGCTGGGGGGCACATTTGTGCAGGGGAGCAACACGCCTTGTTTCATGCGCAGGGCTCATACCTGTAGCGCACAGAGCCACAAAAGTCTGAGCGTGTTTGCGGATGATCTGCTTGGTGTCCTCTGCCAGAGGCATTTTAGTTAGGAAATGTTCAATGAAATCATGGGGGGTCATGGCAGCCAGATTCCACTTCAGCTTATTCACCAGCAGCAGCTCCATTTGCTGCAAAAAAACAAGAGGGAGGAGAGGGGGAAGAAGAGGAGGAAGAGGAGGGAAACATGGTTAGCTCCGCTCATGCTCACGGCCGCCGCAGCGGGCAGCTCGGGCCGCCCCCGAACCGAACCAGGCCGGGCCGGGCCGGGCCGGGCCGCGGCGGTGGCGGCCCCGCGCTGCGGCCCCGTCGCCCTCTGCCCTTGGGGCCTCCTGCCGGCGCTTGGCTTCGGACGAGGTGACTAAACGTGAATTACCAGTAACTCGTCGGGTCTGATGGAGTTATCAGTGTAGATGCAGAGTTTCTCCGCGGTCAGAGGAATCGTCTCCTTCATTTTTGAAGCCACGAACATGCAGGTAGCTCCGAGCAGCTGCAATCGGCTTTTCTTGAGGGGTTCGAGCGACAAAAATCTGTCCAAATAATTCATAGCCAAGGGGAAAACTTCCTCTTCGCACTTCTGCTCCTCGCAAACCTGGAAGAGAGGGAGAGATCGTTGAGTAACAATTTAGTATGGGCAAAAGCTGGTGCTGTCCTGCTGCCCTCGCCTTCCCTCCCCCTCTCGGCCGCTGCAAAGCGAGGGTCGGGGACGCAACGGGGAGAACGCAGCTGAGAAAAAACGTGTAAAAGGGGAAAAAAACAGAGGCGTCAAAGAAAATGAAACAGAAAGTCACGAGTGACAAAGCGGGGAGAAATGTGGCCTTAGAAATCCGCAGGCGGGTTCGGGTTTGGGGAGGAAAAAAAATAAAAAAAAAAAAAAAAAAAAAGGAAAAAAAGGAGGGGGGGGAACAGATCTGCCCTCGTCTTCTCGACTCCTAGAACAGAAAAGAGGGGAAAAAAAAACAGGGAAAAAAAAGGGGGAGCGCAAACCCCCGTGCCCAGGAATGTGGGTGCACATCTAGGGTTGCCCTCAGATTTATTTGGGTTGTTTGCCTTTGTTTTTTAATAAATATATATATGTATTTTGCCGTTGCGCTGCCGATTCCTCTCTCTCTGCTCGAGACACAAAGGTGGCGTCCAGCCGCATTTCCCCAGACGTCATCTTTTCAAAAAATATTTAAAAATATTTAAAAAATCCTGGGAGCCCCGAAAAGCGGCTGAAAACGCCGCGGCGGGTGCCCTTTACCGATCGCCGCGGCGAGGGGCCGCGGGGCGCGCTCGGGGGGGGCTCCCCGAAGTGGAAAGCGGCGGGCCCCCCTCTCGCCGCGCGGCGCGGCCAGGCGCGACGCCTCGCAGGGCGAGCCGGGCGCCGCGCGCTCGCAGCGC